CTTCGGCTGCCCCTTCCTGCTGCAAACAGACGCCTCCGAAGTGGGATTGGGAGCGGTCCTGTCTCAAGTCCAGGACGGTGAAGAAAATCCCGTGTTATTTATTAGCAGGAAGCTGACCCCACCCGAGAAAAATTATGCAAACGTGGAAAAGGAAGCTCTGGCGGTTAAGTGGGCAGTCCTGGAGCTGCGTTATTACCTCCTCGGCCGCAAGTTCACCCTCATAACGGATCACGCGCCCCTACAATGGATGGCCTGGGCCAAAGACACCAATGCCAGGGTGACACGGTGGTTCCTCGCACTCCAGGACTTCCACTTCATTGTCCGTGCTCATCACGGGCTGATCGGTCACAGCTGAGAGTCATCAGCCCGCGGCCAGATAAGCCACGTGAGGCCCGACGATGAGGGAAGACATACTCTCCCAGAAGCTGAAGTCTAACGTGTTCTCTCCTTTACATTCCAGTAACCAGCCCGTGACCAACCAGCCCGAACACGAGCGCTGCACAGACTCACCGACACTGGAACTCGCTCACGGAGAAGCACCGACTCACGCACGGAGAAGCCTCAACTCACCTCAGCACCCACCTCCCTCACTTGGGCACTTGATCTGTGAATAAATCCACCCTCCGGGGTATTTATTTGAGCTCTCCTTGTCGCGTGTTCCTTCCACCCCGTTACACTGGTGGAGAATGCGGGCAAGTGGTGGAAGATACACCGACAAGTGATCTCTGTCCATTCATCCTCTCTCTTGTGTTTTCCCTCCCAGGCGGCTACTCCTCCCCACAGCATGGACGAAATTCTCCAACGGCTGGCGGAGGTCAGCATCCGCCAGCAGCAAATAGTGGAGCATCTCGCCACTCGACAGGGGGAAACTGAGCAGGAGCTCGCCACCCGCCAGCGCGTACCGGTACCGGATCCCCGGGTACAGGCCGCCCAGCTGTTGCCCAAGATGACCGCACACGATGATGTGGAAGTCTACCTTCAGATGTTTGAGAACACCGCAACGACTGAGGGCTGGGAACACGACGACTGGGCACGAGCGCTGGCACCTCTCTTGACTGGGGAAGCCCAACGAGCCTTCTTCAGTTTACCGACCGCGGTGGCCACGCAATACGAGGAAGTGAAGAGGGAAATTCTGGCCCGGGTGGGGCTGTCTCCGGTATGCGCGGCCCAATATTTCCATGACTGGGTCTATCAACTCCGCTTGCCCGCCCGTGCCCAGGCCGCAAAAAAGCATCATATGACCCCTTTAAAAAAAATTCTGAATAAATGTAAATTGTCATCAATGGAGAATAAAGCTTTTTAGAGCCAAATGGTGTAGCATCTACCAGCAAGCTTACTTGCAAACCTTGATCCCTTGTGTGACAAACAATCTTGCAGTGATCTTCAAAGGAAAATATTGTGCAGTACGTAGACCTAGACCTCAGTCTCATTCCAAGAGTTCAAGCAATTAACATTTGTATGCCGTACTGCTGCAGTGGGTGGCAGAAATCAAATGTATGCTATTCCCATTATCAGGAAGTGCTGCCCTTGTCCTTTATATGCAGATGAAAGACAGTGATGTGCATCGAGGCAGGGTGACAGCCCCTCACAAACACTAACCCACATGACAGTGCTGATTGTGGAGCTGTAAGGGGCAGTGGAGTGTGTGATGGAGTCATCCTCTGTCTCTCAGCCTGCATACTGATGGCCACAAATTATAACGATTTCTGCTGAAATATTTGTTCATTTATTTTCTTTTCCTGCTTGGTCTCAGTGATGTTTTCCACTCTTCTCTTTTCACCAAATCACCTTTCCACTTTATAGGTTCTCTTTGTATGCATTAATTAGTCTACATGTAAAACCACATAATAAGTTGAGAAAAATACAATAAATAATAAATAAAACTAATAAATAGTACATAACTCTAGCAAGTGCATATTATGATTAAAATAAGATACTTCTGAACCCCTTTTCAAATGTGTTAAAGCCTTATCTTACTTTTCACAGATGTTACAGTGTGGTTAATGTACTTGTGTTCAAATCTAGTGTCAATCAACACTCTGTGTTGAACCTGTGACCTTACCTTAATTAGCAGACTTATTATATTACCTTAATTAGCTTGAATTGTGTGATGTATTAAATGTAACATTTGTTATTTAAACAGCCTAAATCAGCCCATCTTCCTACCTTCAATGGAATTAGCAACATCCATTTTTCATTCTCCAAACTGCTTGTCCTAAGAAGGGAGGAATTTGCAAAATGCTGTGTTAAATTGATTTAAATGGCATGTTGCACAAAAGGTCAACAGTATTTAATATCAATCATTACTGATTTAGAATATCAAATACCTATAATATCACTACAGTTGAATGCAACACTGACTCCTTCACCAAACTAGAAACATAATTACAGTATACACACATCCTCAACAATGAAAAATATCAAAACAAAATCAGAATTCACTTATTACTCTTAAAGTTTATTGAAAATCACTGAGTCCGACAGAAAAATATCAAAATGAGCAATGTAATGTCTATATTCAAAATGACTAGTCGTGGCTTTAAAATGTATGTTTTGTCATTTGGAGTATCTCAAAAAATCTAATCTGGAAATCCCTTCCTTTAAAAGTTTTCTCATCAGGACCCCACTGGGAAGTAAATAAGATTTTCTAGCATGTGCATTTGTGGGAGAGTTTTACCTCCTACTATTCATTAAGTTTATAATGTTCATGGTGAACTACACTGGTGTTCATTAATTCAGTCCCACAGTATGACTCCTCTATAATAGAAAGAGATTAACATCATAAAGTAAGTTAAAGCTTTGCTTATTTGTGTGGATGTTAGCACAAGGGAGTCTGCCCTGCTGAAACAAATAGCTTAAACTAGACAATGGTGGTTTTCTGGTCAATGATGTTCTAGTTCAAAACCCTTCTCAAACCAGAAAACCAGACCAGCCTAAAAACATGGGCCATGGTGAACTGTTCTGGGCTGGTTTAAACTGTGTTGTTGTTTATTGTGACCAGTTACAACATCTTTAAACTAAACATTTTATGCAAAAAATAGTTTCCCGCTACAGTGTACATTTTAACATAAATCTTAGAGTGTAGGTAAAATGTAATGGGTCGGCTATAACAATGTTCAAAACTTTCATATACAAAATAGTATCATATACAATGTCACATATTTCCAATAGTCTTTTAAAATTGCAAGAGTGCTGTTATTATAGCACTAGTCTAATTAGTATAGTCAGACTTCATGCCCACGGTCTGCTGGCTGAATGTCTGATGCAAAAGGCACACAAAATAAGAAACACTTCAGGAATTTTGAAGTAATCATCTGATTGGTTGAATTATACAGGATTTCTGGTTCACCAGGAAACAAAGCCGTTATGATGCCAAACTCCCTCATGGAAGAAGAAAGCCATCGTGTTTACAATTGCAACAATGATGGCTTATCTGGATCAACTAAACACTGGAATTTCAAAAGTATTTGAATTTCATGGCATAGACTTTGTGCCATTGTTGCAGTAAACTAGCATGACATTCGACTTTACATTTCCATGTCCCTAAACCTTGACACTGAACAAAACGAACTGTGACTGGATGCTTTACATGTTCGTCAGATGCCTCTTTGGGTGGTTCCTGACCAATGAAATGACCCTCTGCCGTCAGTCTGAACGATTTTATTGCACAGCATCTGAAGTGTTGTTATTCTGAAATGCCTAAGCCAAGTCTGTCGTCAAAGTATTTCTGTATAATTGCCTCCCAGAACTGTCTTACACGACTGCTTTCTTAAACAGCAGCATCCACCTCCGAAAGCAACGACCGCATTGATTGTGTTTCTTTTGCTAGCTCTGAGGCGCAAATAATTTATTATATGTGAAAATTATTGGTTACACTTTATTTCGATAGTCCACTTTAGAAATTCTATTAACTATAAGTAACTTTGTAACTACATGTCAACTACATGTCGACTAATTCTCATTAATTTGCAACTACATGTCTACTAACTCTCAGAGTAGACTGTTAGGGTAGGTTTAGGGTTAGTAGAATAAGTTGACAAAGAAAGTGTTAGAATATATTAAGCAGACAGTCTACTAATACTCTACTAACTGCTAGTTGACATGTAGTTGCAAAGTTACTTACTGTTAATAGAATGTCTAAAGTGGACTATCGAAATAAAGTGTTACCAAATTATTATATTCAGTGGCTTTTCCTACTTTTATTAGTGATATTTAGTGCCAGTTTATCAGGTAGTGACGATTTTGTTCTCTTTGACTCGTTGGATGGAAATGGTGCTTATTCGCAAATGTTTTATGTGATATTCCAATTTTGCACATAAGTTAAATTCGCAACTTTGGATGAAAACTAATGATTGTATCACTCTTTGTCTGTTTTCACAGCATTCAAGACCAGAATATGTGAGCAGTACTTTACTTTTTGTTCAAGTTCTCATCAGGAAAAAAAAATAGCTTGTTTTGTGCAAGATGCTTTTATGGCTTATTTTTCCTAGAACATTGTAAATAAATACGTTTGTCTTCATGTGCCACCACAATGTCGTCATCATTGATTTTTTTCAAGCCCTAGGAAGCATGTCAAAAAACGTACTTTCTCCCCCCCAATGGCATTCGGATCCTCTGGGATAATTTGTACACAATAAATTTGTGGCCGACTGCTCCAAACAAAAAATTGTTTTGCCAGAGTGAAGTGAAGCGAAGTGCTGACAGAAAAGTCCTGTCAACGCAGCTCCTTTGCATAAACGTATGCCTACTGCACAGACTTGCTGAGTTAAAGTGTTGCTTCATTACTGGAGGCCACTTTTCTTTTTTCCCAGAGCTGTCAGGAGTCATGAGAGCCAGATGAGATGCTGAGGAGATGTGACAGAGGTTTTCTGCTCTAATAGATTCTAGCCCATGAGAGCAGCTCCATTTAAATCAGACTCTGTGTTAATGTGGTAATGAATCTACTGATAGAGCTCCAGGGGGAAAGGCTGATGTGGAGGGGCAGTTTTTATCACGCTGACGCTAACAGGGGCGGGAGACACAGCCCTGGCGTCTTCAGAAGTCAGCACAGGATGTGTTATTGAGCGTTATTTTTTTATCAACAACAGGAAATTGAATAAAGGAAGTAAAGGAGACATTGAAAATTTCATCCCAGACTCAATGGAAAAATATGACTGTACCTACATTTTTAAAGGGGTCCTATTATGCTCTTTTACAAAGTCTTGATTTTGTTTTGAGGGTGTACTAGAACAGGCTCACAGAAAAACACATTATTTTTCACATTATTACAGCACCTCTCTCCCCAGTCTGGCATGAACGGCTCGAATAGTTCCTGTATCAAATGAAGGCCCGCCT